AATTGAAATTTAGAATTTTAATGACGTTTCGCTGGGTTTGCGGTATATATAAAGGGATATTCAAAATTAGCAGACACTGCGTCGTCAAGCCCAAAGTTCTCCAGTGCCGACAAACGTCCGGTTTTGCAGGAAATTGGCACTTCGGTAGATTGGTTCGAATTCCAATGAATTCGAAGGCACCTACGCGCTTCCTCTTGCGCGCTATGTACACTTTCAGCTCGGAACCGCTCCGAAAACAATCATTCAGCCACCGCGCAAATAGGAACGGGCAGTCCACTGATCTCTTTGGGAGCCTATTTACCTATGCAAATCGTCAATCGACGGCGTTTCCCTGTCATCGTTCTTTATCATCGATATTCATTTCAAGGCGAATATACACGGCTCGCTTGCGGCACGAAAAAGAAATGTATTACAAATCATTTGTCGTTAACGTGAACGATCCTACACATCGAATGAGCTCGACTGTCTCGGCTGTACGTTTATTTTTAATTCTTCGTTTACGTGCCAGAGCCATTCTCACGATATCTCCGGCGAACTCGAAAAAAACACATTTTGTCCGCGTGTCCGTTTCTCCCTTCCTGCCACGTTACTGGAATCCTCCTACGTTCGCTCGCACAACGCCCTTTACCTCAAACGTTAGTGCATTTTTTACGTCAAAGCGCGTTTTTCATACGCACGTGACCGGGAGCACAAAAACAGACTGGAAATGCGCTCGTGGCCGCGTGTGTTTCCCTGCAAGTATTGTCGTCGGAGACCGCGACAAAGGCTGAAATTACAATTTAAGCTCGGCGCCGGAACGCGCGGAAAAGTGTGTCCCGGGAGATAATTCGTGCTCGAGATAATAGCATTTTCGTCCTGTTCCGCTTGTGAACAATGGCGCCTTTTAACGTGAATAAACAGATCAAGTGCCTTGCAAATTCTACGGTCTTAATGTGAACGATGAAAACATTTTTCTACTAAGAGGAGTATCAAGTTTATGTGGAGGAGTATCAATTTTATAAGCTAACTCTCTTACACTCATATAATTTATGTTTGGATTAAAATAAAAATGAAGAACGAGAAAAAGAGAAAAAAGATAGATAGATAATAGATGAAGGCGGTTTTTATTCTTATTTTGGGCAAGCTCTTTGAAAATATAGAAGTAAAAAAACGTAGAAATAAATAAAGAGTAATAAAATTAAAATATACAAATAACAAAAATAATACAAATAAAATATGAAAAATAAAAGCTTCAAATTATACAAAAGTAAAGGAAGAAAACAAAGATAGTGATAATGGATAAAAATAAAAAGTCGAAGAAAGAGGGAGAGAGAAAGATAAAGGCGTTTATTATTATTGTAGCAAGCCTTTAAGAATGTAATAGTAAATAAAAAGAAAAGTGAAAGAACATAAATGTAATAAATAGCAAAAACAATATAAATAAAATGCAAATGTTTGTATATTATACCTATTGAAAGAAACAGTAAACTACATAAAAGCAAAAAAAATACAGAATGTATAGATAGTGAGTAGTGGATATAAATAAAAAGTCAAAGGAAGAAAGAGAAAAAGAGAGAGAGATAATTATTAAATTCTTACTTATTTTTTAAAATTTATTGATACATCAAATGTACCTTCACGTTTCGATAAATGCGATATTTGCGCGGAATTCTCATTGTGCGCGATAGGTCCGCGGATTTTGAATATCGCATTAGCGCGAGGTATTTCGCGAATCTAATTTTGAAGCCACGAAACGGCACAGCTTCGCAGTCGCGAACGCCGTTAGCAGAACTCTATTCATTAGCAATGAGGAAAGTGGATTAAGCATCGACTGTCTCGAACTTATAAAGGACACTGTCTCAGTTTAATACGCGCAACGGAATCCTATTTCGGATACGGAGAACACCATTGTTGGCCAAATTATTTCAATATGAATTATACGTCATTCTGTTATACTTGTCCGTTAAATATATAAACGAATTATAAAGAAGGAATTCCCTGTTAAATTGCGAAAGCATTCGGTTTCACGTAAATAAGCTTCTTTCTCTCTCTCTCTCTCTCTCTCTCTATATATATATATATATTTTAATTCGTCCACTTTTGTACAAAGTTAACGCTCGCAGGCGGTAAAAGTTGACGTTTCTACCTGCGTTTCTACATACGTGACTTTAATAGCTTTTAGTTTCGCTACCTTCCAGCCCAAGGTGTAACAATATTATCTTTGCATGTCATTTCAATTGGCGCGGTCACGTGTAGTTTAAAACGATAGGAATTTGGTCGCTTAGCGATTCCCTACAGTTATCCTGTCGTTAATTAGTTTCGCGCTTTGGGCAGAATTAAATGTCAAATTACAAATCAACCGACTTAAAGCCGAACGCCTATAGAAAACTGATGAGAGATAAGCTCGGAAGAAATACTATTTTTTTTAAGTTAAAAAAATAGTTTTTTTCCTTTTTCTAAAACTTAATCTTTTGCGTTGTGTCACTTTTAAAGGAACGATTTTTTCGAAGGCTTTCTATTTATATCGTATATATTGTATGTATAATAACATAGTTTTCGCGACATGGAGCCAATCGCGATATTAATACAATATATGGTTCTCCATTAATTAGTCGTTCGCGATTTCAAAAGCATGAAGGCGCGTTTTTAATTAATTTCCTGCCTCTGTATCGACAGCCAAGAGCTTCGTGTTTGCGTTTCCGCTGCTTTGGATATATAAGAGACGGCGCGCCGGCAAATATTTGCGCAAACGTTGATGAAAATATGTGGCATTTGAATAAGGTGGCTGGCGAGAAAGACAAGCGCGTCGGCGCATCGCGTTGCATCGTTCTTGTAATAACGAAATATTGCCGGAACGACATTGTCCGGCTAAAATTTAATATATAACATTCTCGGTCTGTGTTATTCGCACTTGATTACCAAATATTTTTTCTCGTCAATTTTATGCTCGCTATTTAAATTTTCAGTTGCAAACGAAACAAGAATAACAATGTTTGAAAAACACCAATTAATATAAATAAAAAATACATACGCGTAATAATTTGTATAATATATATTAATTATTCTGCATTAAAAACGGGTTTGCTGAAGTATAATATATACAAATTCAGCTACACATATAGATTTGAAGATAATTTTCAAAGATTATTAAAATTATTATATGTTAAATTATTAAAAATTTTCTCGAACAATTAAAATAATTATATGAAACGCTCAAGCATCGATGACAAGACAGAAAATTTTAACATTTTAGCAATCAGTTTGAGTATTTTACATATTATTTTGATTTGTCCCACAAAATTATTTTATATTTCTACCTAGCTAAACTTTTAGGTACTCGAGCAAAACTATTTTTTCTATATGGTAGTGTTAAAAGGATTCTCCGTGGAAAACTATAAATTACGCATCAGAATATATTGCATCCGAACTCGTCGTACTTATCTCGCTGCGTCACAGTGAGGTTTACAGAAGACGAAAGCCGTACGATAATCCAAGTAGAGTCCCACAGATCTCGCGGATTTACATGGCTGTTAGCACTTTTCATCCTTAAGAGAGGCACGACACGATATGGTCTCGCCGGTGGTACTCCGAGGGCGACGGCACGGTGTTTGTCTTCGTTTCATCGTCGTTGCATAATCATTGCTCGAGAGGACGTCTGATCCTTTCTTTCTCTCTCCTCACGCCGTCATCTCACCCTCGCTCGTTCGCCTTCGCGGCGCGACGTACGGCGGCGAGTTCCTCCCGCGATACATCCGGAAACGGAATGAAAAACGGAAAGAAGACAAACAGCGGCTGCCTAGGGCGGATGATTAATTTCCCTAAGCGCACTCGCGCGCCCAGGTTCGCCGGGGAAACTGAAAGCTGCATATTTTATATGCGCGTTAACTCGTCGCGTGGCGAACTTAATTTCCAGCGAATTTCATTATGCCTTTCGTTTATTAGGCTCTCTTTAATGCGACGACCGCCGTACCGACCGTCGGGGACTTTTGATGACGTGAATCTTGACTGTAATTGCAAGCGGAAACGCGAATGACTCTCGGGAATAGTCGTGATTTGTGCTCGTATGAGAATAATAAAAATGTGCATAATAAAAATGGAGAAGACGACAGAGAAAAAGACAGTATTATGGTCAGCATAAATGTACTGTTCTTAATATCTTTGCTATTAGGTGGTGAATTCTAGTGATTACGGAATTATTTGCTTAATAGTTCGCCGTTATACTATATGACTCCCGTATAAAGCAAATTTTTCTGTAATTAGATTGTTAACCTAATGTCTATAACTCTCTCCCGATCTAGGAAATCCATACATATAGTCACTGATATATGGAATTTACATTTTAACGCCAGATCCAAACGGTACTAATAGTCAAAAATCTTTTAATCATCTCACAGGAGTTATTTTCAGCTCCTTAAACGCGAAACATCGCGTATGTAGGCACAGATGGGATTGAATCCAGATCAATCGTACCCAGCGGTAAATCACTCGACACACACCTCTAGTTTTAAATTTAAAGTTCAAAGAAGCAATGTGATTAGCTTAACTTAACTTAAACCTTAACAGGTATTCGTAGATTTAGTGAATCTGGAATTTTCTTCAACTACGTCATGAATAATTGTTTATAACAAATGTTTTTCATAGCTTTACATCATTTTAAGTTACACAATCTTACTCTTCGAACTTTGACCTTTAAAACGCGAAAAAATTCTTTCAATCATATTAACTTTAAGCAAAAATACGTTAAAGTACATTAGACCCGCGAATATCAGTTAAGGAAATTTCAGAGTAAACACCGATTAGGATTAATACTGTCATAAATAATTAATTTTTAAATATGCAATTTTTCTTTTCTCTCTCCTGAAAATTGTATACTTTTAACTTATAGATATTACTTTTCTTGCAAGAGTGCGATATATTTTTAACATATTGTGTGTGAAATATGATTTTACGCGTATACTTAAATATAACGCGTATTTAATTGAGAATTTTAATAATCCGGATTAGGGGATTAGGTGCGAGCTTGCACCTGAACATGTATTTACACAGTCAAATTCAGAACTTTTTATTTATGTATCTTTAGAAACTTTATCGATACTATTAACAACTGTATCGTTCTCGTACCGCGAGAGAGATAAGCGTCAGGTAGTAAACGAAACAGCTTCGCTCCGTGTTTATTAGCATCGTTACTTTTTACTGACGCTGATAAAAGTAGCTTCCGTGGAAAGTGCATCGAACTTTAAATATATCTTGAACCACAAAAAAACGAATCATATGTATTCTATCCATATTTTTCTGTGATGAATTCATATTTGCTCTATATTTATATCTACGTTTGGCGCTCTTAAATAATATTTTATCAACTAACAGGTAGAATATGTATATTTCACAATAAATATTTTCATAATTTACGTATAAAACGCTGTCTATTTATATTCGCATATTTTTCTCTTTGCATTTATACCACAAGCAATTTTGACGTATAATTGGTTTGAACTGTCCAAGTGGAAAAATTTAAATAACGTACGCGTGACAAGGTGCGTGGGAATAACTGCTTAATATCAGTTTTACAGCTTATTTTCAAGTATAGATCGTAATTTTGTTCACATATAAATGAAAATTATCACTAATGATGCAAGCTGAACTGTTAACCTATGATCGATTGCGTTAGCGTTACCGGTAATGTTTTCCGGTGGTTCGCTGACAAACACGTCGTTCGTCGATTCCGCCGATTCGTTGATCATCAGTTTCTCCCAAAATTCCATTCTGTTAGACAGGAAATCGGTTTGCACCACAGTTTCCGGCAATCTGTCAATCCCGAATCTCATGAACTGATGATGATCGCGGTAGTTAGGCCATGCGGGGATCAGCCGTGCTTTTGGGATTCTGTACATATGTAATAAACATTACAATCGTTAAGAATATCCGGTCGTCGTTGTATAGAACAGAATTTCCTAGTGATTTAATATTCCTATCGGATTTGAAAGGATAACAGATTATGTAACGTGCGGAAATAGAACGGTATGATGAATTGAGCGTATTATATGTTCGAAGAACTCTAGTTTTTGAAAAATTACAATTGAAATAATTATCTTATTAATCTTTTAGAATTTGTTTGTTACCGATTTTCTCGATAAGATTTGTGTGCAAAAAAATTAAACATTATATTACCACAAATATCTTTCACAAAGACATTTGCAAATGATAATAACAGTAAAATGATAATGATAAAAAAAAAAAAGAAAAAGTTATAATAATACTGATGGCAATGATAATAATAATCGTGATAGGAGTTATGAGTAATTATATTATATAATTATTAATTTTATTTACCCATTTGTCACGAAACTTGCCCACATCTCTGTCATGATGTTAATCATGGTAATATCGTTCCCCGTATTGTATAATAGCATATTTTTGTATTTATTATTCAATATAGGAAATAAATAGTTTAATTCATCGCCATGCGAAACACCTAAAGGAATAAATTATTAATTTAAAATCACGTAAATGTCTACTTAATCTTCGATTGCGGAAAACAGTCGATATAATTAATGATGAAGGATCGCTCGGATTCTTTTTTTACTACTTTTTTCAATATAAATATTTTTATTGTTATATTTAATGTATTTAGAAATAGTGAGTATTTAAAATGGTTACTTTTAATTATTTATTTTGTTTACTGACAAGTTATAGGAAATATAAAGTTCGAATTTCGAGAGATATCTCATATATCTTTTATTAAGCGTTAATATCAATCTTAATCTTATTTTTTAATTTTGTAATAAAAAAATATTTTATATTTGTATTAATATCAGCTCTTATTAAAATTTTTGTGTTGAATTTTTAATATATTTATGTGTTAATTTAATATAATGTGATTGTATTATTTGAATGTATTGTACTAAATTAATATTTAATCATTCTTCGCGTTAAAATAATAGAATTTATAAATAAGTGAACAAATCATATAAAAATATCATTGTTTCAAAATTGTAAATTGTGAGATAAATAAATAAAATAAATAATAATAAATAATAAATGTATACATGTGTTAACTTAATATATCATAAATGTTAATTTTACTGAAGAAGTATGCTTTTACAATTTGCTTCCAAATTATGTCAAAGTACTTTTGTGTTAATTTTGTATGTATTTTACATATGTATTTTCTGACATATTTATCTTGTGTTAAATTAACACAAAAATTTGGATGGACTGTTTGGGATGTATGAAATGCATTAAATCTAACATAAATTTTCCAACTGCGTATGGAAGTTTTAATTGTATACAAATGACGTACCATAAGAAACCGGGATGCCCGAAGAGAAGGTGTGCGAAAATGTGCCTTCATATGCGAAGAGGGAAAAGTAAATGCTAGTATTTCCTAGTTTCGACTGATATTGTAAGGCTTGAATCACCGGCCATGTCATAAAATCACTGAACATCTAAAGAAATGATCTTCATTGTTAAACATTTCTCACACCTATTTATCCTAGAACTTACCTCTGTAATATTATGCATAAGACCCAACATCACATTTCCGTTAAAATAAAAATCTTCTATTGCGGAAGCGAAAACACTAGTGTTGGAAATTACTTCGTGACACTCCATGAAGTAAGGCAAATATTCTTCGAAATTCTTCATTAATTCATCCTCGGTCTCGGGATTTGTAAATAATTCTGAAACGAATACGAATGGATACGGATATTGTCGGTCTTTTTTCTTCGCATTAAAATTTAGTTAAAAATTTAGAAATAATTTTTTTCATTAAAACAAACGTCAAGTGCCTAATGTCTGCTCAAAAATTTCAATTTTAATTAATATAAAGTTAATTAATGTAATATTAATAATAATTGTAATTATATTTCTTCCATCTCGGAAAATTATCCGACGCCGTTAATTAATTTGCACGAGAACTTAATTAGGTATTATTCTAGCAAGTAATAACGGGAAAATCCGTTATTACTTGTAAAAGTACCGATTGTCTTCACTAAACCCTCGTCCTTCGTGACTTGCATTATCGCCGGTATATCGCGAAACATTCCGGCCTTTATCATTTTCATTGGGTGCATAGTTACAATGGCGTCCTCCGAGTTATCCTCCAATGTAGGACCAAAGTTACACCACGGATGTGATCTCCAAACAGACTAACATAAAATAATACAAAACTACATTAGATACAAAAAATTAGAACATACCAATATTCCTATATAAGACTCTATTGACGGCACTTACGAAATAATACGTCATTGCTTCTAATTTCTTCGCATCGATCGTTCTCATGCATTTTAATATCTCTTCGTCGTTTTTCACTTTATAACCCAGATACAAGACGTCTTCTGCAGTCGGATCGAAGATGAGTGTTTCATTCGGTGTAATTATGTTATCATCTTTTTTCAACCGGCAGCCGGCAAGTTTTGCCAATTTCAGACCTACTTGTCTATATCTTCTTCGAGGATGAATATTGCTTGCATGTAAAATTGAACTGCCTAGCAAAATGTATCTGTGAAAAAGTCTTTTGGTCTTCTCTGAGAGAGCAAGAATATGAGTCGCCGCTGCACCGGAACTGTGCCCCATAAGGGTCACCGATTCAGGATTCCCTTCGAAGCTGTGGATATTTTCTTGTATCCATTCGAGAGCCATTTTTATATCTTTAAGACCGTAATTACCTGGGGCGACTTCGTTCGTTGTGCTAAAAAACCCTAAGTAATTCGAACTCGTCGCGTTATTGTGTATTGTAATAAGACTTGTGTCATCTAATTTAATACACAGAAAAATGAGTATTTTTGCTGAAGTATCTTAAAATTTAGCTATATAAAAATTTGAAAATTTTATGGAATACTACACTGTTCGAGAAAAAATAACTTTATTCAAACAATCAAAACAAGACTAATTATTTTCTTTAGTTTTTTTGGTACTGAATATGAATTAATTTTCCGAATTGCTCCATCACATAAATTTTTAGAAATTTGCTGTTAAATTGTAGTTAATTTACAAAAAAACTATTTTCACATTATATGCTATTTTGTCAATATAATTATGATATGTTGAATGCTGGAGAAGTTTTATTGAAATTTAAATTACATGTGTTGTTAGGACTTTTAATCCTCAACAAGAAAAATAATTTAATTGAACCCTTAAAATAATTATACAGGAAATTTAAGAGTATGATGAGTAATGCTGCAAAAAGTTTTGACAATTTTAGCAATCAGCTCGAGCATTCTACATAATTAGTAGCACTTCAACAAAAAAACTATTATGATGAGACTAATCATTTCCTGTAGTTTCTTGGCCGCTAAAATTCAAATTAATGAAAAATCTCTATATATAAAAATTTTTGTAACAATCTACACATTTTTTAAATTTTAGCACTTTCCATATTGAATCCATTTTAAACTTGTTAATTTTGACACTGGATTCGTATTCAATGGCCTAGAAACCTTAAAGTTTAAATAATCATAATTGAAGGCTATTTTTAATAAATCGTTATTAACTTAGTTTATTGCAGCTTTTTCGCAATAGACTCCATGTTTAACCATGCATATTTGACTAACTATATAACTAACGCTAAAAAATCTTTTTGAGGACTAAAAGTCCTAGTAACATTTTTAATTTTTGATTGTAATAAAACTTCTACAGCACGTCACATATCATAGTTATAATATGACAAAATACGAGACAATTTTTATTTGTAACTTTAAACTGCAAATTTCTCAAAATTATGGAGCAATTTAAAATCGGATTTGTATTAAGCGTCCAAAAAACTATAGGAAATAACTACTCGTACGTAGGAAATTCAAGCATGATGAGCAATGCAGCAAAAGATTTTGACATTCTAGCAATCAAAACTTCTTTTTTTCTTACCTAAAACAGAAAGTCGATAATTCAACGTGACGAGGATTATATTCTGTTCCAACAAATAATCTGGCGCATACAAATTGCTATCGCTACTTCCTATCATATAAAAACCCCCATGCACAAAGACTAAAACCGGTAGTTTCGTGCCTTTCTGCTGGTTGTCTGAAATCTATAAAGTTTTTAAATAAAATTACAGAATAACAAAATCGTTATCTATAAATAAACGGAAAAACGAAATATTTGATAATAATCATTGTGCTAACGTGAAAACCGCTAAATATCGCATCAACAACATAACCTTGATTCGTTTAAGTTTAATTAAGCCTCGTTAGACCTCGCAGTCTAATTGAGTTCATTTACGTTTGTTCTTGAAACATTGTAATTTTCTATTTGCTTTGAAATTTTGGCAAAACTATAAAAATAGCAAACGATTTTAACTATTTACTTGAATATGAAGATATTCGTCCACTATGAGATTTTTATTATTGCACATTCTATTTATTATTATTATTATTATTATTATTATTGAGCGATAATATTTGTGTGCAATGTTTCACTTACGTAGGGAATGAAGATGTTCAAATAAAGGCAATCCTCGCTACCGATAACTTTGGAGGTTTTCATGTCAGTTTGAATGCATTTTGGTCCATCGTTTGTAGCGTTGCGAATTTTCGTCCACGTATGATTCCATCGTTGCGGGCTCTGACAAAATATTACATAATCCAACCATATTGCTAATTAATGTCGCGTTCACACGGAGCGTAAACTATGATGAATGTGATTTATGTTTTTGTAATCAGTCAAGTAGTTTTATTTCTTGCTGAAAAGCGTAAATTTTCACACTTGATAACGAAATGACTTGCTGAAGGTTGTGCGGTTATCAGTTTAATTTTCATACACAAAATTATAAATATTTATCAAAATAAAAAAAAATAACAAAAAAACGGTGATAACTTAGATACTAAATGTTAAATTATACTCAATTTGAGTTGTTTTTAATAATTTCCGTAGATCAATACTATTTCTATCCAACATGTCATTAATTAATTAAAACAATGGAATTAAATAATTTACAAATGTATTAAACTTGATTCAAATTAAATTGATTTATCAAGTATATGTATATACGTTAATATGTTGTTTACTTTGAAACTAACTACAGAAATACATAAGTCACGTTCGTGATTCACGTTTTGTTTCAATTAAAGATGTAGGTATAAAATATTATTTTTACAATTATTTGCAAGATCCACAAATGAGTTTGTCCTTATATATTATTAAAGAATAAAGAATAAATTAAATTAAATTAAATTAAATTATATCGCATGTGTTCTCAAACAATACGCACCCTAAATCTCAAATCGCCCACTGGGGGCAGAGCGTACGGTATCCCGAGAAAATTTGCGACTGTCCGATCGCGTATTGTCCTGCTCAACTTGCCGTGAAACAAGCCCCATTTCGTGTTGACGAGAAGTCGATTTTGGGAATCCATGAACAAACCATCGACGAGAATGAGCAGGAACATGAAAACGCATATGCATCGCCAAATCCTTCCGTTCAACCGAAGACGCAGCGACGACATGTTACAGCATGCGAGAGATTCACTTTATTCCGTATTTGTCGCGAGGGATGCTGCGCATATCATGTGCATATAACGACTGAAATGCAGCATAACTTCACTGGCACAACTGTGAGGCTGTTTTATCGCGAACCGCCACGTGATACGGACGCAATACGTTTAATTCCTATGATAGTGACGAAACAAGCCGAGCGACTTTACAACGTTGTTTAAGTATGGAGTTTATGGTAGATCAACACAAGAATAGATATCATGCGATTTTTTTACATAAAGATTAAATTGAGGTCTCACAGTCATCAAATTCTGTAAAAAGTATTCAAGGAACATTTAGATTTTTAGATAAATAAAACGCAGTTTATATATAATATATCGTTACATACGTTTACATGCCGTTGTAAATGTGTCGTGCGATAAATTTTGATAACGATTCGCATATTATTAAAAACAATTTGTGTGTCGCAAAAATGAGCTTAATTGCAAACGAAATTAAGTCATTTTGCATTAGCGAATGATTTTATCAGATTCGCTGCGCTATTAAACTTATCTTCGTTGAATATTAACAATTTTGGACTTAAGAAATTACTAATACTCAATAAAGATAAGTTAAACATGCTTTCTAAATCTTTCAAAGTAAAATCTCACTCTTAAAAATAGAAAATTGAACCAATCTTGAAACAAGAGTGGCTCAATTTTCACTTTTTAAAGGAGATTTTTTATTTTAGAAAATTTAGACAGTGAAGAAATAAAGAGAGAGAGAGAGGGAGAGTCACACTAATATTATATAATTTATATAAAATCGTCAAATGCACGAATTGATAAGAATGTCAATTTAATTTCATGAAATTAAAGCATACAAAATGGATCAACAAAATGTATTGTAAATATAATACTAATGCACATTTAATTATTTTTTTTTTAGTTTGTGCCTCGAAAAGTAGGAAAGTCTCTGTTTTTCATAGGAAGTGATTGAATATTCCGTCCTCACCCCGCCGTCTTTACATCATTTATTCACCAGAAGGATCTCTATCAACCGTGACGTATTATTAAGCGAGGGGTAATGCGGCTTTTGGCGGAGCTTAGCTACATACTGTACATTATTATAGATGAGCAACTTAACCCGGGTTACTCGTAACCATTCCATTATTCAACACGTTGCATTTTAGCTCTCTGCCATGGTACTACATACTTCACAATGTCAACAATCGCGCAGGGTTATTTGAAACTCGAAATGCAAACCACTTCGCAGGAGCTGCAGTGAAGTAAAGTAATAACTTAAAACAGCGCGTACAAAAAATTGCAGCAAAAAATCTAACGTAATGATGACGATCTTTTTAAGGACTTTGAAGATTCGACACGAATCTATAATTTTCCTAATTCTCTGATACACTAATATTTTCTTAAATTAAAAAAATATTTTTTAAGTTATTTTATTTAATTTATTTACCTTAATTGGATATTTTTTTTACAATAAATTCTTTACAGTATTTTATTATTATTATTAACTTTTAATATACACTTTAAGAAATATTATAAGGTTGTGTATTAAAAAAAAATGGAGACTTACTTAGATCCTCCTAGTATTTTAAATGAAAGAAGTGCATAGGACATGAATAACCCAATCGTGTATAAAAAGTTAAATTGGTGATTAATTAAATTTGTAATATTAAAAACATATTTGAGAATGTTTACATAGAAATATTATAAACTAAAATCTAATCTTTTTATATTTGTTGTCTGTTTTTTTATTTGATTTATTAATCTATTTAGTTTTGGAATTATAACAAGTGTATTTTTCAATGCTCTTGCAAAAGAAAAATCACCTTAAACGCCGATTATTTTCATAAAACCTCGAAACAGAGGGATCCTTGAAAAGCGATCGCTCTTTGTTTATCTCAAATCGAACGATCGTCTAATTCGGATTTCACTGGCGCTCTTACCGCATCCCGTGGGTTTTCTTCTCCGGTTTTCTACGTCGACCGTCGCCGCCGACACTGTTACCGCCACCGCCGCCGCCACTACCTCCGCTCCTGCGGCGAAGGATTCGCTTCCGCCGGCGGGTTCAAGTCCTAACAATTTCCTGACAAGAGGGACTTCCCCCGGGAGTTTCCGGTCCGTTTCCGCACGAAATCTCCATAGCACCTTCACCCGTTACGCGTCGTTTGCAGAGCCGTGTTTATCTCCTCGTCATTAGTTATGCCGTGTTACTTGGTCGCAGATTCCTGCTGATTATAGTCTTTTGCTCCCGCCTAGTGATTTCCGTTTTTTTTGTTTTACTCTTGAATTTAGTACGATAACAATTATCTTAATTATACGAATCTAAAAATAATTTTGTTGAACTATCAAAATAATTACGTAGAACGCATTATGGGTAATAATGAAAGATGTTTTGATATTTTAGCAACCAACTTGATTACCGTCTAACAAAATTATTTTCAGATCTGTATCTAGCTGAATTTTTAGATACTTGTTAGATATTGTAGAAATCTAATTTATTGATTATACACATATATCTATAATAATCAAATCATATCTATGTAAAAAGCAACAAAAGATTACAATGCTATTAGCATGTCTTATATTCCGATGAAATAATACGTTATAAATGAAGCGCAAAGAGACGTGCCGCCTTTTTAAGTTATACTACGAAACATTCTATTATCTATATTATCATAAGCTTACTTCGTCTTTGTTACTTGTTATTAATTAATTAGCATGCATATAGCGTTCGTGAGCTTGATAGCGCCAAATAATGTGAAATATGAAACAGCGTGAAATACGAAATCACTAAATTGTTGAGTTAGATAACACGCACACTATATTGATAATTTAGTGTTAAAATTAAAAGGACTGTGTAGGATATACATATATACTTATACTTAACGTTACCTACAAGATAACGTTGTGCAAGCAAAGGCGAATTATCACTAAACCAAAAATAGCAATAAAAGTATTGCGAAAGAATTGACAACTTGATGACGACTGGTATGTCAAGAGTGTAAAGTTCCGACTTTTTATATTATTACACTTTTCCAGGAAATTTGAGAACTCATCCGATATCAAAGCACGATGCGTTTTGATGATTATAACAATACATAATAAATTAGCTGTTTGAATGATATGCAGCTATCTCACAAGCAAGTTTTGTTCGATGTGTTTCTCCTTATCTTGTACACATTGTAAAAAATATACTTTTTAAAAAAGCGTAGAGATAAGGAAAATCAAACGGTTTTATTGTTTGACTTTCCTTATCTCTACGCTGCACTGCATAAGAACTGCACTGAAAGAATGATTTGCTGAAGTATCTAAACATTTAGCTAGATACTCTCTAAATTTGAGTGACATTTTATTTATTTTTTTTAAAGTGAAACATTTTCACTATCTTGGAGTCAGATTTTACTCCAAAAAATTTAGAACAATATAGATCTGAAAATATATATAATTTTCTTGGATATCAAAAAAGTAATTATGTGAAACGCTTAAGTGTTGACGATAATATATTATATGTTACAAAAAATTTTAATATTCTATAGATAGCAACTATTAATATTTTGAGCATCTTACATATTTATTTTAAGGTACAAATATAATTATTTTCAGATCCGTATTTAGCTAAATTTTTAGACACCAGCAAAATCGTTCTTTCTGTATTTTAACTCCTAATGAATATGATTAGTATTAATGTTCTTAAAGTATCTCATTGAATTAGTATCGATGTTCTTAAAGCATCAATTGAATCTCGAACGAGCGTACATAGAGACAACAATTTTGTTAAAGTATTTAATTTAGTTCAGATAAAAACAGATTTAAAAATAATTTTGTTAAACTCTCTCTATCAAAATTGCTAGACTTTCAAGATTACTAAAATATCGAGATTTTTTGCTGTATTATGCTTGAGTTTTCTACATAATTATTTTTGATGGTCTAACAAAATTATTTTCAGCTTTGTGTCTAACTAATTTTTAGATATTTCAGCAAAAGCGTCCTTTCCATGTATGTAACACAATCTAGCCTTGAGCGAATTAAAATTAATTATATGATCTAGTTTTTTTCAACTTAATACAATTCGTTTTTGTTTACGTTTACATTTTATTTATGTTGTATGATTGTGCTTTATAAAATATTAAAATTAAAAACAACGCCCATATATTATAGTTTTCTGTCTAATTCAAATTCATTTCTTTGATGTTAAAGACAACAGAAAGCAAGGATTAATTCGGTACTTGCCACGTAATGGCGGGCTTTGTGGCATGAGGGGATCGAGTTGGACGTCAATATGATTTAATATCGGCTGTTTCCATATCCATGTGCATGTAGGAGCACGTCGTGTTTGATTAAAGGCGGACGTTGCGCTGGATTATGCATTCGTCTATTTGTCACGTCGTGGACTAATTGCAGTACGCGGTGCAGTTACGACGCGGACGGCAAGAACCGTCTGGAAATAGCGTATCTATAGGTCTTTGCATCGACGCCGGCGCGGCGGTGCGGACCAATTTCCCTTATTCTTGACGATGCCGCTAGAGTTTGTTTCCGATTACTTTGTACCAATTTGCCCGGTTGGCGCACGTGTCCGAAGCGACATGTTACGCTTGCCCTATTAACATCGTCGGATGGTAACAATTACTTCCTCTGCGTGCACAATTACAAACTCCACTGAAAATCGTTTAACGTTTTTATGGTTAATAATTGTGGCCGTTAAACGTTTTCATTGCGTTGTCATTTCCATTTCTTTAAATCTGTAATTTCGTTTTAAAATTGAACGTCCTGTGTAAGCTGGAAGCGCTTTGTCAATACCGCACTGCATTATTAAATAAAGAGAGGTACGTAACTTTGATCACACGTGAGCGCATTATAATAATGAAACGTAAACCGACTGCTTTACCGAGAGTGCAAAACTATGGTCCGTTGTACGGGCAAGACAATGGAAGAGCTAGCACGCGCGGTTTTTGTACGGTAAATCTCGCGGGAATGACACATTTGCGTAACGAGATGATTTTCAGGGACGA